ATCCATCCATCCATCCATCCATCCATCCATCCATCCATCCATCCATCCATCTATCATCCATTATCTTCACCCGCTTTTTCCTTTTTGAGTCACGGGGGTCACTGGTGTCCATGTCCAGCAGTCACTGTGCAAGAGGTGGGGGACACCTGGACAGGTCTCCAGTCCATCACAGGGACATGTTTCAGACAAATTACATCATTTTAATAAGAAGCTCAAGGCTCATGCGATGTTCTGTGCTTTCTGAACCCCTCAGTGTTGCAGCAGCATCACCAGTCAGTCTCCAGCTCTGACATATGATTCATAACACATCATCCTGAATTATTTATTAAGGAGATTTGATCTGAGAAATGTTTAGAATGAAAGTGGGATTTTGTCTTCTCTTCTTCAGTTTCAGTTCCTGCACTCCTGTGATCAGGGAGCTGATACTGCAGTTCTGTTTTATTATTGCACAGATCAATAATTGAAAACATAATGGAAGATGAAGGGGGTGTGATAATTAGCATGTTATCACTGAAATGTCAGAAGAGGAAATTCTGATGAGTCTCCAGAGAATTCTTGGTGGAGCTAATGATGTTTGCTGAAATAAAAGAAAAAATATTAGATGATGGATTCACAATGAGCTAAAACTAATTTCACTGAATACAACATCTAGATTGAATAATGTTTTAACAAACAGGATGTTGAGGACAAATTGTGCAGAGTCCAGAAAGAGATGAAATACCTGAAATGTTGAAGCAGGATGCTACGTTAGACATCTTAACATTTTATTTAGTTCTGACAGCCCATGTCAAGAGCTAGATCATGAAAAATGATTTATCAAAACTATTTTCCCAAAAGCATTCTGGGGAATTTGCAAGAAAGGAGCTGCATGCTGTTCAGTTTTAAATTGATAAAGTTCCCTTCAAGTGAAGTGCCTTCAACTACAAAATATGAAACCTGTTGTCTTGTTTTTTTATGTATTTATTTTTAAATATTTCTTTTGGATTTTCAGGAAAGAGGTTCAACAAACTTTGAGTGTTTCTTGCATCTTTCATGAACTCAAACCTGAGTTTTGTTGCTCCCAAAAGGCTGACTACAGAGTTCAATCAACTCAGAGTGTTAAAACCCTGATTTAAGCATGCAATCAAAATACGTCATCAATGGAGTCCTCATATGTCGAATCACCATGGCAACCACATGTAAAAAAATTTATTTAGGCCATTTCTTATTATCAAGTGTGCTGAGTACAAAGTACATAAAGACACATGGGAGTTAGAACAGAAATGTACTTAAAGATGTGATGAAGCCATTCTCTTCAGTTTTTTCCAAAAGTTTTTTAATTCATGGAGACTTGTTTAACCAATAATTGGATTTTAAATGTTTTAAGGCAGAAGTGGGTAAAGATAATGGCCAGATGGATGTAAGAAAAGTTGCACAATCATAGAAACTTAATAAATCGTGAATGGTCCACGTTTTTTCAGTCAGGTGCTTTATAATGTTTCTCACTCGCACGTTCACACAGTGCTTCCTATTATACATTTTACACTAACGAGTACTTTTTATGTCACTGATACATTGACAAGCATGTCGGGGTAGAGTGGGGTTCAATGTCTTGCCAAAGGACACTTCAGCACACTTCAAGGGCTGGGGACTGAAGTAACAAGAGTCTGACCAATATATTAGCAGGACCAATATTTTAGGTCTATGTATAGACGTTTGGAGACATATTGCTATCGTGATAATTGTCCCATTATTCTCTGATAGAGGCACTTCTAATTTTCACCTATAAAATGTTGGAACCAGCCGTAATTGTACAATATATCTAGCAGAGGGTGCATGAAGACCAATTTCAAGTTATTGCCATTCACTTAAGTTTGACTTTCATGCGCAGTACAGATGAAGCAGGGAGCAATACTGTGTTTTGCTGAACAGAGCATGGTAAGTTTATTTTAACTGATCTGTAAAACAAATCAACAATAATAAATTCTCTTCAATCCTCCAACCCGCTTGTCATTAGCTATGTGCCTCTCAAGTAAGCAAGCTAACATTTAGATAACCTAGCATAGGCTATTGTCTTGTAAAACTTTATCCAGAACAATAAATCTAATGTAGCAGTAAATATACATCAGTGTTAGTAACATTATCTTTGTCGTCCTCAATGGAATGCATTGTTTGTCTGAAATTTTTTACTTCTCTGCAAAGAAAAATAACTCTGCTGCAGTCAATACTAATTAGACCTTCACCAAATGTGACAGACTGTTTAAACAATGAACAGTGTTTCTTTGTTTAATTTATATTTATGTAACACACTTGATAACTTTATGGTGAATAGTAGAGGATAGAAAATGTGAACTCATGTTAGGAAGACTGTTTTTATGACCAGTGCACCAATTATAAACCCACTAGGGACTAGGTACAGTGTGGATCTGACTATTCTTTATTTATACAGGTTAATCCCATTGAGCCTCAGGGACTCATTTACAAGAGAGACCTGTTTTTAACAAATAGTGATGACAACAGTGGACAACAAAAACAACAATAGACAATCCTAAAGGATGCGTACAAATTGAGGATTAGTTTAGCTTCATGGTTGCTAACAGCTGCGCTAAATAAACAAGTCTCGCTCCACTCGCAGTTTTCTTAGATTCTTAGGGGTGGACAAAGCTCAAAAATTTCCAGCCATTATATCGGTTATCGGCAATCGCCGGGCCATTCCGATATCGATATTGACAACAGCTAAAATTTCCATATCGGTCGGGCTCTAGAACTAACCATCTGATTGGAGGCTGACCTGTTAACTTACTGGGCCAAGTCACTTCCAAACAGCTTATTTATCAAAAAGTATATTTAGTAAAAAATGTCTTTGCTATAGGAAGATCCATCCGTCCATTTTCTTTAACCAAATATCTTTACCTTTCTGGGTCTTGGAGGAGCTGGTATCGATCTCCAGCAGTCACTGGAGGCGGACACCCTGGACAGGTTGAAAATTCATCACAGGGACACACAGAGACAACAAGACACAAAACAAATATGTTGGATGTAAAATCCAAAAAAGTTCAGTCTGGTCCTCTGGACATTCAAAAAAACAAAAAACAAAACAAAGCAAAAAAATGTAGAAACGTTTCGTCTCTCATCCGAGAGACTTCCTCAATCTGAGGTGCTGTATTCAGCTCAGTCTCTTAAATAGCACCTTCTCAGAGTGGATCAACCAGTTTTGCTGCTGACAACCAAAACCAGCTGATCACATGCTCAAGAAGGACCATCAGCCTAACAATGGATCATTAGCACACTGATGGCTGTTTACTATTCACAGAGGGCTGAGTGATACTAGCAATCACAGCATTGTAAGAGGGGGACAGTTGAACCCGGAGGCCTCCACCCCTGTTTAATGATGGACGATTTCTTTTCACAAAGATGGCCTCCTTTACTCCTCTCTCAAACCATTGTTCCTCTCTGTCCAGGATGTGAACATCTTCATCCTTGAAAGAGTGACCGCTGGCCTGGAGATGAGTGTAGACCGCAGAGTCCTGGCCTGATGATGTTGATCTTCTGTGCTGGTCCATCCTTTTGGCCAGTGGCTGTTTAGTTTCCCCGATGTAAGACTGATCACCCTCCTGACACTGAACAGCATACACAACATTGCTGTTTGTGCTGGGGGACTGGATCTTTGGGATGAACCAGTCTTTGCCGTAATGTATTTTGGGGTTTAAAAGCCACTGGGATGATATGTTTAGAAAATAAACGTCTCAGTTTCTCTGATACTCCCTCAACATATGGAATGACCACTGGTCTGGGTCTGGGTTCCTCCTTTTCACCTGATGGCTGACTGGAGTCTTGTTTGGGTTTGGGATGTAAAATGTTATTATCATTACAATAAAGCGAATTTATGTGAATTGAACATTCAAGTCAGGAAAATGACCTTAACAATCCTATTACTGGAACTATAGTTCAAATGGGGGACCCCAATTCAAAAAGGGGGACCGTAGAGTGTGTTCCAACTACAGGAGGATCATGTTCTTAAGCCTCCCTGGTAAGGTCTGTTCAGGGGTTCTGGATAGGATGGTCTGTCTGATAGTCGAACCTCAGATTCAGGAGGAGCAGTGTGGTTTTTGTCCTGGTCGTGGAACACTGGACCAGCTCTACACCCTCAGCAGGGTCCTGGAGGGTGTGTGGGAGTTTGCCCAACCAGTCTACATTTGCTTTGTGGACATGAAGAAGGCGTTCGACCGCATCCCTTGGGGAAACCTGTGGTGGTACTCCAGGAGTATAGGGTAACAGGCCTTTTGATATGGGCTGTTAGGTCCCTGTATGACCGGTGTCAGAGCTTGGTCTGCATTGCCGACAGTAAGTCGGGCTAGTTCCCAGTGAGAGTTGGACTCCACCTAGGTTGCCCTTTGTCACCGATTCTATTCATAACTTTTATGGACAGAATTTCTAGGTGCCGCCATGGTGTTGAGGGGATCTGTTTTTGTGGCCATAGGGTCACGTCTCTGTTTTTTTTGCAGATGATGTGGTCTTATTGGCTTCATCAGGTCGTGATCTACAACTTTCACTGGAGCGGTTCGCAGCAGAGTGTGACGCGACCAGGATGAGGATCAGTTCCTCCAAATCCGAGGCCATGGTCATGAGCTGGAAAAGGGTAGAGTGCCCTCTCCGGGTCAGGGAGGAGGTCCTACCCCAAGTGGAGGAGTTCAAGCATCTTGGGGTCTTGTTCACGAATGAGCGAAAAATGGAGCGAGGTCGATAGGCGGATAGGTGCAGCGTCTGCAGTGAAGCGGGAGCTGTACCGGTCTATCGTGGTGAAGAGAGAGCTGAGTCAAGGAGAAGCTCTCAATTTACTGGTCGATCTACGTTCCTACCCTCATCTATGGTCATGAGCTTTGGGTTGTGACCGAAATTATGAGATCTCGGATACAAGCGGCTGAAATGAGTTTTCTCCGCAGGGTGTCTGGGCTCTCCATTAGAGATAGGGTGAGAAGCTCGATCATCTGGGAGGGACTCAGAGTAGAGCCGCTGCTTCTCCATGTTGGGAGGAGCCAGTTGATGTGGCTCAGGCATCTGGTTAGGATGCCTCCTGGACACCTCCCTGGTGAGGTGTTACAGACATGTCCCACTGGGAGGAGACCCAGAGGAAGACCCAGGACACGCTGGAGGGACTATGTTTCTTGGCTGGCCTGGGAACGCCTCAGGATTCCCCTGGAGGAGCTGGACCAAGTAGCTGGGGAGAAGGAAGTCTCCCTACTTTAGCTTCTACCTCCACAACCTGATCACAGATAAGCAGAAGAAAACGGATGGATAGTTCAAATGGGTGGATTCTCACAGCTGAGAGATGTTAATTGTTGAAACAATATTCAAAACCTGTTGGAAGAAAAAGACCAATCGAAGGAATTGAAGGAAAAATGTTTGTGATTTTTTATTATGAAGATATTTTACCCAGTCAAGTAATTATATCTGAGTGCAATGGTGATTGATTTGGCTTATGTATAATCAGAGAATATTGAGATGTGTAAATGATTAAAAGAGATAAACAAAAAAGATATTAAAAAAACAACAACATTGTCTGGGAATAAGACCGTATTTAGTTTAGGTCAGAAATCCATCAGCTGATATCAGGTTCACTGAAACAAATCTGCTTTGATATCAGTCAGACTGATTAAATTTGAACTCAAGTTAGACAGCTGCTTCAGGTGGAGGAGACCATTAGAAACATTAGGTTTTCTGCAAAAACAATCTACTTTTGACCAAAGCTCTCTATCATTACATACTGTTCATGCTTTGTCTGAACGAGTTGGCTAATGCAGACTGATACAGATCCAACAGACATGGCAGACAACATAATTACATAACTTGTTCTGGTGTAAATCACTGTCCTGCCTCCAGAAAAAAAAAAAAAAAAAATCAATTTAGTTTTACAATAGAAAAGGTTTTGAATATAATTGAATTAACTGATAAATTGATAAATTACATTTGAAACTGATGAAATGCCTAAGAACCTGATAAACACACCACAAGCCACAACTCCAATAATAAAAAAGTATGATGTTGTGTAAAATGTAATAAAAATGTAACTATTTGCAAATCTCATAAACCCATTTACTGTATTATTCACAATGGAACATAATGAACATAACATAAATTGAAAATGAGAACATTTACATTTTTGGTTAGAAAAAGGTCATAAAAATGTTGGGACAGCCGTGTTTACAGCTGCATTCCTTTTTCTTTTGACATCATTTCTTAAACTTCGAGGAACTGAGGAGAGTCAGATTGAGTCAGAATTGAGAAAGCTCCTCGGATGAGGAGCGAAACGTCTTCTGTTACAAATAAAGTCCAGCTGTTTTTGTATTGAACGTTTTTTTGAATTCATCATGTCCTGGATGACTGAGAATCTTCACCAACAAACTGAGGAGAGTTTTTTGAGAGAACTTTGTCCCATTTTTGTGGAGGATTCTAGTTGTTCAACAGTTGAATGTCTTTACTGTGTTTTTTTAGGATGAGAGCTTATGTTCACTCGCTCTTATGCAAGGCGTACACCTTTTCTTCCCTCTCCCATCCTCTTCCTGTCTTTTTTGCTTTCTGTCTGTGTATCGGAGCTCCTATTTACACATCTTCCAAAACAAAACACTACTGTCATGGATCTGGTCAGTTGGACTTTCAACTCAATTGATAAAATCTTTGCAACAAAGCGACAGGGTCCTAGAGAGCCCTCATGTCCTGCTGAGACTCACGCGGCAGGATACGTCTTGGATCCATGGGGAGTTTGGGAGCTGATGTGCCTTTCCGTAATGTCTCAGGAGGACGCCGAAGATGTTTATATAATTGGAATCATGATAGTAGGAGTTCTGCTTTTTGGCACCGACGGATTCCTATGTTATTGGCTATTGAAGAAGATGGCGGCAGCAGTTTCAGCCATGGCAAAACTGCAGAGTCTGTGTGAAGGTTTGGTTTGAACTTCGAGTACTCAAAAGCAGCTGATTTACGAACTAAACCATAAGATGAAAACAATTTGTGAGAATTGCAGACCACCTGCAGCTTCTGGGACTTGCCAGCCTAATGGGAACGACCTTCGAGGGCGCTAATAAACATGGACCAGTGGAATTCCCACCTCTGGTCATTTTGGATAGAAAGTACCAGCAGGACTCAAGGCTGACAAAAAAAAAAAACAGTCTGCCTGAAAAAAAAAACAACAATTGTGGCTTATCTGAATCTGACTCCCCCGGTTGGCCTTGAAAGAAGGCCGACTTGTCAAATTTCTCCTGAGATATGTGTAAACTAAGGAAAAGCTCTGTCTATCGCACCCCCACCCCCCAAAAAACAAACAAAAAATAATAATAACAACAACAAAAAACTCCTGTGAAGGCTTATCAGAGCTGTACCGGCTGACACCAACATCTTATGGACTATGGACTATCTGGAAGTGCTTCATGGACAAATCTCACCACCTTGCCATCAAATGCACATGTAAAGTGTTTATTAATGTGCTTGCTGGTAAAGTTTTTTGATGTCTTAAATTGTGTCCTGATAAGGACAAGATGTGAAAAGATCTTTTTTGTAATACCACTATCCTATCCTCATGGCCTTTTCCCCTTTTCTATCTAAAAAGTATTCAGAAAAAGGATAAGGGGCTGCGCTCTCAGGAGCAGCAGCAACGTGCACTCCGCGCATCTTTCAGATGACTGTACGAACATAATCTCACTGTATTTCAGTACAGTGATAATAAAGCTTATTCTGATTCTGATGTTCCAAAACGTGCATGAACTTCTCAGCACTGGTGTGTAAGCTGCTCATACCATAGATACTAATGCACTCATATACCGTCCCATCAAAGGAATGCTTTAGAACTAGAACTTTACAAGCAAAACTTTAGAACCAGAAGTGGCTGGTCTAAGTAATTCAATTTTCTCCATAAAGTGGTTCCTCCTAATAAATAATGTAAATTACTTATTTACTTAGCTTTCTGTGTATTGATTTGTTCTATATGAGTTTTGTCTAAATCTTTTAATGATTTTGATCATCCATCCATCCATCCATCCATTATCTGTACTCGTTTCTTCCTTTTTGGGTCACGGGGGGTCACTGGTGCCATATCCATCCATTACTGTCTGAGAAGTAGAGACACCCGGGACGGGTCTCCAGTCCATCACAGGGACACATAGAGACAAACAAGGCAAACAAACATTCACTCTCTCGCTCACACCTAGGGACAATTTAGAGTTACCAGTGAGAATAACATGCATGTTCTTGGTCTGTGGGAGGAAACCGGAGTACCCGGATAAATCCCACGCATGCACGGAGAGAACATGCAAACTGCACCCAGAAAGGCCCGCGGCCAGGATTTGAACCAGTGACCTTCTCGCTGAGAGGTGGCAGCTCTACCAACAGTGCCACCCTCTTTCAAATTTTTCCCCCTCATTATTTTTTCAACTTTCCAATTGCATCCATTGAAAATAACTATTCACACTTAGGGCTGATTGGTGTATTAACTGTTCACTGGAGTGTATTGGCAGAGCGATTTAAAGAATTGTGTGTGTGTGTGTGTGTGTGTGTGTGTGGGGGGGGGGGGGTGTTCCACCTAAAATCTTGCCTAGGGCGACAAAATGTCCAGGGCTGGCACTGTACAGCAGTGATGACAAGGATAGGCCCACGGGAATCAAACCACACACTACCTACATTTTAGCTTTAGAGAAGTGATTTCAGCATTCATCCTCCAATTCAATGTTGAGATTTCTGAAGATAAATTTGTTTTGTTGTACGAGAAAATGAAAGATATTGCAGTCAGCATGTGCACCCAACACATTCACACAAACATGAAATACATAAAACCAAACAGTTTAAAATAAACCAAGTTATGATGCAAGCATCACTGTTTTCTAGGTTACCCAGATTCTTTCTAGGTTAGCCTTCATGCAGTTAATTACTAACTGATGTTTGTCTTATTTTCTTCTTTATTGCCTGGTTTGATTTTACAAACACTAAATGATTTTCGTAAGTCTCGTTTTGTTTCATTTCCAGTTTTTATTTATTTTCCAATTAAAAAGTGACAATTTGCTGGCACCAACAGTGATGGCAAAGTTACATTGAAAAAGTAATTTAGTTACTTATTCCTTGTTTGGAAAGTAACAAAGTTAGGTTACAAGTTACTTTATTAGTTACTTTCAGCAGCAGCTGACAACAACCCTCCACCACCTCAACATAAAAATTACATTGATCTTTGCCAATACATTGAAAGTGCATTTTAAAAGTAATATCAACAATGTCTCTCCTGACATAT